TATATATATATATATATATATAATATTTTGCATTTTCTCAAAAAAATATTACAAATATACACAATATTCACAAATTTTGTATTATCAGCAAAGATACTGCAGTGATACTGCTAATATTTACAGCATCGCCCAGCCCACAAACAAACATACATATACGTACACACTAACTCATTTAAAAGTTTGGGGTTGGCAAGATTTTGGATTTTGTAATGATTTTAAAAGAAGGCTGCATTCATTTGATAAAAAAAGTGATACATTATGAAATATTATTACAATTTACACTTTAATATTTTTAAAATGTAATTTATTCCAGTGATGCCAAAACTGAACTTTCAGCAGCCACACGATCCTTTAGAAATCATTCTAATATGCTGGCTTGGTTCACAAGAAGCACTCTTACTTTTAATAATGTTGAAAGGAGTTGTGCTGCTCAATATTTTTTGGAAACCCTTGATAATTTTTTTCAGGATTCTTTGATGAATAGAAATTTAAAAGGAAATATATTTAAAATAAATATTCTGTAACGTTATACATGCATTTACTGTCACGTTTGATCAAGTTAATGCATCCTTGCTGAATAAAATGAATTGAATTAATTAAAAAATTAATAAATATACTTAATTTCTATACAAACACATGAGGTCTTGCATAAGCAGATTCATACCTTGAGTATATGCATAGTCATCCGAGCCGGAGCTGGATCGTCTAGGCATGCGGTTGATCTGACTCGAGATGTTCCCTGGCAGGGCAGAGATGGGCAGGATTGGAGGAGGGGCGGCGTGGCGCTCGCCCTGGTCCACTATATTGAGGAGGGATTCTGTCTTAACTGGTGGAGAACTTGAGGAACGCTGCACCTGCCCAGGGGACATTTTGATCTTGATGAACGCAGAGGTGGCCGGCTGAGGAGAGGATGTGGGCCGGGGCCTTGCCACACCCTGGTGGACATAAATTCCTTGATGAATGGAGGCCCCGGGGGGTCCGGTCATACTAATGGCCCGGGACGGGGAGCTCGGGGAAGGGCTGGTGGCCATATAGAGCGATCCCTGCGGAGCATGTACAGGGGAGTTACTCCGTGGTCGTTGTCCCTCCAGTGTGATCTCTATCTGGTTCTTCATAGGGCCTTTGGAGGACATAAAAGGCCTGTGGGAAACTGGCGGCTGCTGGTAGGACAGCCCAGGGAGAGTGGGGGGACTTATGGGCAGAAACACCTGGGGCGGCTGCTGGACCTGATGTTGGGGAGAACTGTACGGGGATGGGTATGTCGGAGTGGCGTAAGGAGACTGCTGGTACACAGATGTCCCAGATGTGGACCAGGGAGTGGGTTGAGGACTTTGAGACGGTGAGGGACGCATGTACATGGTGTTCCCACTGTTACAATAGGCACCAGGGGGGATCTGCAGCGCTTGTGGGGCAGATGGGATGTTCTGGGAGAGGGTAACTGTTATGGGAGGCATGTAACATGGGACAGGGTGGTATGTGGGCGACATGCCCTGGATGCTGGGTGGAGGGGTGGGGATGTTCGAGCGTCCTTGATCGTTCATGAAGAAGGGGTTGAAGCCGGGTGACGGCACCATAGTAGCTGGGGCGGAGAGGGGCTCGGGGAAACCACTTCGAGGATGCTTGATGTGCCCGTCGCTGGAACTGTGGACCAAAGCTCGGCCACCAGCATTATTTTTAACCCCTTCAGTAGCAGGGTAACCCACACTAATGCGCAGCATGTGGTTCCGGTTTAAGTGCAAGTCATCTGGGCTGTGGTACTCCTCATACAGGTATCTATTACTCTCCTGAGCCAGCAGATGGCAGCAGAGGTCCAGGTTATTGTTGTTCTGAAGAGGAAATGGAAGACAGTAAAGTAAACATGTTCTTGCACCTGATGCCTCTCTGATACACTCAGTAATGGCATTGAGCCAAAATGACACAGCAGAAAATATTACTGATAAAACTTCACACTCACTGCACATCATTATCATAAGGTTTACATATGCCATAGTTCAAAAGTTTCGGGTCAGTAAATTTTTTTTAAAGAAATTATTATTTGTATTAAGCAAGAATGCATTAAATTTATCAAAAGTGACAGTGCATTACAAAAGATTTCTATTTTAAATAAATGCTGCTCTTTAAAATTTTCTATTCAACAAATCCTGAACAAAAAAAAAAATAATTTCCACAAATATTTTTAACAGGCACAACGGTTTTCAACATCAATAATATTAAGAAATGTTTTTGAGCATCAAATCAACATATAATGATTTCTGAAGGATCATGTGGCACTGAAGACTTGAGTAATGGCTGCTAAAAATTCAGCTCTGCCATCAAAGGAATAAATTATATTTGATAAATTATTATATTAAAATTGAAAACAGTTCATTTAAATTATAATAATATTTCACAATATTACCGTTTTCCCTGTATTTTTGATCAAATACATTCAGCCTTGATGAGCATAAGAGACTTTTAAAAGCATTACAAAATATTACCAACTGCAAACCTTTGAATGGGTGGTGTTCATGACCCTTACAGTCAACAGTTGATTTTCATAAGATCATTTGTAAAATTTTTTGAGTTGGAGTTGAACACGCCATTTTGAGAAAAATGGAAATAATAAAACATGACAAAAGAAAGTTTTCTCAAAAACGAGTTTTATGAGAGCCCTGTAGATGATTATATAATCAACAGTTTTGAAGAAACAATTATATGTTATTAATTTGTAATAGCAAAAGCTTTCCCATTTCATTCACATGTGTTTCTGGGTCAAAATGACTCAAAATGTCGAAGCAGTCCACAAACATTCTTAACATCCCATTTGTTTCAATTGTGACTGCTGGTTCTCACCTGAAGAAGGCACTGAGACACTACTTTCTCTGGAATCTCTGGGAAGCGCTGCTTGAGGTCCTGCAGTATGTGATAGTCCAACTGAGGCCCTCCCTGCGCCATCCTGAGCCCAAAGAGAGAGTCACTGAGTCCGCAGCCAGGAGCGCAGCACCTGCTCTCCTCTCATCCCCTGACAACACACATGAATAACATCACATCAGAGCCACAGATCGAGTTTGACTACTCACATGCACTGCTAACAAACTACCTTGGGGTGTTTGCAACAAAGAGAAATCATTAAAGGGACAGTTTTGGTATCATTAACACACATCATTCATTCAACTACAGGGCTCCAGACTCATTCTTCCCACTGGTCGCTCTTTTGCGCACTAGCACATGATTTAGTCGCAATATTTTTTTTTATTTTTTTTTGCTACAACATGGTATTAATCAATGCATGCTGATTAACTTTTATCATAGTTTATAGTTATATGGAAACGAAAGTGGTTAACATTCAACCCGTTCTTTTTCATCAGTAGTATTTGTGATTTGAATTTTGTGAATGGGAGTTCTTTTGCTGTGTTATAAGCCGGGCTTGGGGTATTTCTGAAGGATCATGTGGCACTGAAGACTTGAGTAATGGCTGCTAAAAATTCAGCTCTGCCATCAAAGGAATAAATTATATTTGATAAATTATTATATTAAAATTGAAAACAGTTCATTTAAATTATAATAATATTTCACAATATTACCGTTTTCCCTGTATTTTTGATCAAATACATTCAGCCTTGATGAGCATAAGAGACTTTTAAAAGCATTACAAAATATTACCAACTGCAAACCTTTGAATGGGTGGTGTTCATGACCCTTACAGTCAACAGTTGATTTTCATAAGATCATTTGTAAAATTTTTTGAGTTGGAGTTGAACACGCCATTTTGAGGAGAAACCTTTTATGATAAAGCAATGCCAACTTTTAACTTTCAAATTAAGTCAATTTTATTACAACATTCGAACAATAAATGTTGTTATGTAATCGCCCAATCAGTGATTCACATCAATAAACGATATCAATAAAACCACTTGTGGACAACATGCCACCTGACTTGATTTTATCTCAGGAAAGCCATTTTATGTCCATGGTTTGTTAGGTAGAAAGAAAGAAAACTCTAGAGAATAATCACTAAAATCTAGAAATATATATATATATAAAAAAAAAAACTACAAAAAAGACAAAAAATACACAAAATTACTAAAACTAAATTTAAAATTAAATATAATTAATTAATTTAATTAAAAACAGACAATTCAAAAATCAACTACAGGGCTCCAGACTCATTCTTCACACTGGTCGCTCTTTTGCGCACTAGCACATGATTTAGTCGCAATATTTTTTTTTATTTTTTTTTGCTACAACATGGTATTAATCAATGCATGCTGATTAACTTTTATCATAGTTTATAGTTATATGGAAACGAAAGTGGTTAACATTCAACCCGTTCTTTTTCATCAGTAGTATTTGTGATTTGAATTTTGTGAATGGGAGTTCTTTTGCTGTGTTATAAGCCGGGCTTGGGGTGCTTTCACTTTCGAATTCGCAATCTTGTTGTAACGTTTTACAAGAAAAGATAATTGTCTGTTTTGCTTACATACATCTACACACCTTTCACTTTTTAAGACTAAAACAAAAGATGGATTCATTGATATTCTTAATTAAAAAGCACAACAACAATAAAACAGTAAGATACAATGGCAAACTAGCTTACAAAACGTTTATTAACAAAAACGAATAAGATGAGGCATACCCACTAATAACTTACAGAACGCTTAGCAAACACTGAGGAATCAAATAAAACATTTAAATAAAAGAGCCTCCATAGCGTAACGTGAGGTATACAGCAAAGATAACAAGCTTTTCAAAATGAAAACAAAAAGAAAAGTAAAACTAAACTTGTTGTCGGTGACAGTGCTGCATGTGTTTTTCCCACAAGAATACCAACATGTTCACCTTCTCCGGTTTAAAGGGGTCATATGATGCGATTTCAATTTTTCCTTTCTCTTTGGAGTGTTACAAGCTCTTGGTGCATAAAGAAGATCTGTAAAGTTGCAAAGACTAAAGTCTCAAATCCAAAGAGATATTCTTTATAAAAGTTCAGAGTCAGCCACACCTACCTAAAACGGCTCGTTCTAACACACCCCACATGTCTACGTCACGATGTGAGAAGATTTGCATAACGCCGCCCAAACGTTCACGCAAAGAAAGAAGGCGTAACTTAAAAATATTTGGCTGCACAACTGTTGATAATTCTAATAATAAATCAGCATATTAGAATGATTTCTGAAGATCA